CTGAGCTGCCCAGCACCGCCACAGCGCCCTGTGACCCACAGTGTAGACCTGAGCCGCCCAGCATGGCCACAGCGCCCTGTGACCCACACGGTATAGACCTGAGCCACCCAGCACGGCCACAGCGCCCTGTGACTCGGGCTGCCCAGCACGGCCACTGTACCCAGTTATGCACACAGGTGTAGACTCGGGCCACCAGCACATCTGCCAGCAGCCACATACGCATCGAAATGTGCTGGATCATGTCGAAATACACACGTACAGAAAATGAAATATCTCCATCATTTTTAAGTACTGACTACATATTGAAATGATAACGCTTCAGACAACGCATGGATTAGAGAAAATACATTATTAAAATGAACTTCACCGGTTTCTTTCTCTTTTTCTTTAACGTGGCTACTAGAAAACGTGAACTTACACAGAAGGCTCACATCATGTGTCTCTGGACAGTGCCGACGCAGACGCTTCCTCCCAAGAGCACAGGGAATGTCGCTCCCATGAGCCCTTCCTTCCCAGGACATCACCAGAAGAGCCGTCACCCAAAGACGGGGAAATGACGGTGGGGGGGCAGGCAGTCCCTGCATCTGCTCAGCAGGAAAGCAACCACAGGGACAGGTGCGGACGGCAGCGTTGGGGCAGCTCAGAAACCGCACAAGGAGTGGGCAGGCCGCGGATCTGAGTCTCATCACCCACAGCCACAGTCGGGGAGTCTGACAGATCAAAAAGAGACCACTTAGGGGAGGACTTCACTTTAAAACTAAAAACACAGCAGGCCAAATAGACAACAGTAACACAGAACTAAGACCATGCCCACTGGTCACCCAATAAATGAACAGGCTGAACTCACACATCAAAAGAAAAAGATTTTCAGATTGATTCACAAAGCAAAACCCCATCTCTTCTGTTATGATGGAACTATGTCCCCTAGAATACATGTTGGCGTGCTGGCCCCTGTACCGGTGACCCTGTTTGGAAAGAAGGTTTTCTTTTGTTAATACGTCAGTGAGGTCATACCACTGCAGGGTGGGTCCTGACTCCTTCTGAGCTATGAAAAGAGCAGAATAGGCCAGAGCTTTGAACCAGTTAGAACGCCTGCTGAGAATCTGCATTTCCACCCCAGATATACTGAATCAGAATCTACATTTTAACAAGATCCCCAGGTGATTCTTACGTATAAGAAATTTTAAGAACCAACGGCTCTACTAAGCAGCAGCGTTAGTATCTCCTGGGAACTTGTGAGAAATGCAAATTCTCAGCAGGGGTTCGAACCCCTGAAACAGACACAGACACACGGGGAAAGGAAGAAAGACGAAGGACGCAGACGCAGCTACAATCCCAGGGACACCAAGGATGGCTGGCAGACACCACACACTAGGAGAGACGCACAGGAAGAATCGACACGGCTGAGACCCTGATGCAGACTTCCAGCCTCCAGAAGAGAGAGAAAATAAAACTTGTTCTTTAAGGACAACCACTTGTGGAATTTTTATGAAAAGGATGGTGTCACCCACCAAATCCCGTGTCCGGCACAGTGCTCAAGAGCATCTAGAGAAATCTTAGCTGTGCTCAGCTGTGCTTCTAGGAAAGCAGGTTCCGGGTTTTGTTGAGATGCACAGGAGCTGGTTCCAGAGGCACACAGAGGACCTAAAAGTTCTAGAAAGAGCTGTGCTAGGTGTATGTGTGTTGGCCACGGTGGGAGTACAGGCAGGAGATAAACGGCCGCTGATGTAAGTACTGAACTGCCAGTCACCAGAGCTAGTGGAATGAAACAAGGACTCCTGAGGCCCGGGAACACAAGCACGTGGCCGAAGCCGGCGAGCGCATGGCCGAGGTGGGCGAGCGCGTGGCCAAGGAAGGCGAGCATGTGGCTGAGGAGGGTGAGCACGTGGCTGAGGAGGGTGAGCAGAAAGAGAGAGCACAGTCAACTCTAGCTAAGTAACGGCTGTGCTTAAGGAGCCCTGGTAGTGCAACAGTTAAACACTCAGCTGCTAACGGAAAGGCTGGTAGTTGAAACCCATCAGCAGCAGAAAGACCTGGCGATCTGCTCCTGTAAAGATAAAAGCCTAGGAGACCCTATGGGGCAGTTCTACCTGTCACACAGGGTCACCATGAGTCAGAACTGTCTCGACGGCACCCAACAACAACAAGGACTGGGCTTACTGAGAGTCTGCATCGAGTTCAACGGGACACTCCCCCTCCTGCCTCCAGGTGGGCCTGTCTGTGCCAGGGCTCCTTTATCTAGAAGACGGGGACACGGAGCAGTCAGAGACAGGATTCTGCCCTCAGCCCCCACTTGCTAGCAGACGAGAGGACAAGTAATTTTAACAAAATGACAGCATGGAAGAGGCAAGAATGATAAAATGAGAGGCACCCATGAGACGAGCCAACCACTTCTGGGTGACAGAAAGGGTCCAGGGAAGCTCTCCTGAAGTCAGGTAGGACAAATGCAGAGGACAGGCAGCGGAGTCACACAGCAAAGGCCCAGGAGGGTGTGCGGGGGCTCAGCGTAATGCCCCCGACTGGCCGGAGAGGGCACGCATTCAGAAAGGCAGGCTGCCTTCTCTCAGCTGCTCACGGGGGCCTGGGTGTGGGAGGCCCTGCACCTGCCACATGCACACCCTGACCCAGCCCTGCACCTGCCACATGCAGAGCCCGGCCCCACCCTCACCTAGTACACGCAGAACTGGGCCCTGCCTT